TTTTTAGCAAGCTGTCCAGCAGCCCAGCTCAGTTCTGGCTCACACCGGATCCAGGACCTATCCCCACTGTGGCTCTGCATTTAAAGTGTATTAGGAGCCGGGCAGGCAGGAAGCCTAGCTCAATTCTGGTTTGCACTGGGTCTGGGAGCTCAGACCCGCCCCCTCAAACAGGGGCTGCTGCCACCCCACACCGCTGACTCTTTATCAGAGGCAGCAGCACAGAGCAACAAGCAGCCGGGGCTGGTTGCAAGAGGGACTGGTTTTTAAACTGGCTCCCCTCACGGACTAGCTCCCACCTGGCACCCCACACTGCTGCCAGCCCCACCCCTGGGGACTATAGAATAGTCAACTAACTGATAAGAATTCATGAGGTTACTCAACTATTCAATTAACTGATATTTAACATCTCCACAAGTCACAGAGCAAGGCTGATGAGAAGCCAAGCCTACACAGGGCTACCCTTTGGACTGGGCAATCTGGGTCCAACCCCAGGGTGCCACAGCCAGGGGGGCATTGCAAAGAGCTCAGACCCTGCTCCTCCCCTTTGGCACATTTCTCTAAAAGCCTTTCAGCACAATTTGGTGAAAAGTCAGTTTGAGCTTTCTGTCATAGGCAGATCTGTGTTACCATTGCCTTTTTGGAGAGTGAGTGGGTTTAACTGAGAGAAATATTAGTTCATTTCTTTGAGACTTCATTGACAATACTGACAATACTTGTCTAGTTCAAGTGCAAGGGAAAAAAAATCTATCAGGTGATGATTAGACACAATATTTGGATTTTAACCTTGTCAGTTTATTATTAATGTCCATTCTTAATAGACTTACCAGTTTTGATTAGATGGATTCCTGGAAGCTTCATTATGACTTAATTTTTAATTAAAGATTAATTTTAATTAAATATTAATCTTTAATTCCTAGACTCTAGGACAATCCTAATTCCTAGTCTAACAGCAGGTTGTTAAGCAGGATTTTGTGGGACCCCCCCCGAGGCTCTGGGTTGGGGCCAAAAATGAGGCATGAAGTGTGTAGGACAGGGCTACCAGTGAATGGGATGGGGATGGGAGTGTAGGATCTGGGCAGGAGGTGGGGCAAAGAGGGGATAAGGGTGCGAGGTCTGGCCAGGGGGGAGGCTGCCTGGGCAAGGGGCAGGAGCAGGCTGGGAGAAGGCTACTTGGCCAGAGGCCAGGGGGTGCCCGCCCAGTGGGCAGGCTGTCTGACCAGAGGTCAGGGGGGATTTTAGCCAGGGGCCAGAGATTCTTGGATGCATTCTGGGATGCATTAACAGGAGTGTTGTGAGCAAGACAACAGAAGTCATTCTTCCACTCTACTCTGATCATGATCATGAGGGTTAGCCAGCAGCCTGGGAACTAAAGGGTTAACTATACCTAACCGGGGTAGAGTTGGCCAATAGGAATGTAGGTAGGTATTTCAAACTGGGACAAAGGAATTTTTGGTTTTTCCCTCTCCTTTGTCCCTGGGCAGTTTCTCTCCAGCTACTGAGGGAGTCAGACAGAATGTCTCCCTCCAAGAATAGATTCTTCACTCTTCTGTAAGTAGGGTAAAGTTTAGATAAATCTAAAGTTTAGATAAATCTAGGTTTTATTGTTTTACGGTTTGGGAAATGGGATCTGATGTCTGTGCATTTAAAATGGGTTTTGCTCTCCTTTGTAACTAAGCTCCTGGCCCATGGTGGGGGGTTTCCCCTTCATGGCTATGTCTACACTTGTGGCTTCTTGCTCCAGAAATATGCAAATGAGGCTAAGCGTGGAATATTGCCGAGCCTCATTTGCATACCTAATGAGCCACCATACTTGCAGAAGAGGCTCTTGCGCCAGAAGGAGCTGTCTACACTGCCCCTTCTTGCACAACAAAAACCCTCTTGCGCAATGCTGTTCTTCCTGAAAAGTAATTGACGTAACGGCATTGTGCAAGAGGTTTGTTTGTTTGTGGCCCACGGTACAGTTTTGGTTTTGGTGGGGCTCAATACATGGCCCGTGGGTGGAAGCCAAAATAAAAAAGTAGTCAATATAATGGTTTTCTGATATGTATTTTAGTAGTTGAATTACTGGATTGTCATTGCTCATTAAAAGTGCTGTATGATGGGTAGAAATCGGGTAAATATTGCATTTTATTAAAATCAACAAAACTGACATAAATGGGGCCTGCGTGTTGTGTAGTTTTGCCTTATTTTTTGTATTTATGCTAGTCAGTGTGAAATAAGCTATTTGCAAATATTTGCATATGTATTTGCATGTATATGCAACCACACTTAAGTTGCGGCCCTCGGCCTGTGCTGTGAGTATCATTGTGGCTCCTGGAGCTCCCAAAATTGAGTAGCCCTGGTCTAGGTGGGTGCCTGGTCCTGCCGTGAGGGCAAGGGACTGGACTCGATCTTTCAAGTCCCTGTCAATTCTAGTATTCTATTATTCTAAGCAGCATAATACCATTTCTGCCAACTCTTGTTCCTTTCTCTGATGATCAAGCACAATTTTTCATTGTAACTTTTTTGTTCAAAGTCTTCTAATTCCTAACATTGTGAACAATTTCTTTGCTCTTTTCATACAATTATAGAAAACGTTTCATCTCAGAATTCCTCCCTCACATTGGCTTCATAGTGTTTCTTCTCTTTGTTTATTGTGTTTGGTATGTGCCTCTTTCCACTCTCTAATCTGTGATCACTTCAGCTGTGTCTGCACTACCATAAACTCAACCATACAAGGTTGGGAATAGCGTTACTCCTCCTACTTCAGCTGCCCTGACAGTTGATGCAACAGGTTTAGTAGTGTGAATGCATTGTTTAGAATATCGATTATATGCAGCTAAATTTGATGTAAAGTTCTAGTGTGGACAAGGCCTTAGTCTATATTTGGTAAGAGTGCACCTCAGGTTTGCACATTTCACTGTGGTGTAGTTTGCTAGGTGACAACCAGGATTTATGTCTAAACTGAACCTAACTTTGTTACCATATGGTAGAACAGGTTGGATTGTAAACATAGTTTTAGCAGTAATTTTACTGGAGAGGTGCAGACAACTGATGGTTTTTTTATAGTGTAGAAGTCACACCGAGCTTCAGCTACATGAAGACATTTGTAAAGCATCTCAGATTCCATGAACTTCTGTTGATACAAGCATGTGCTTGACAGTTGAAATATTATGAAAGTTTATTTCTTGAGAGTCCTGTCCTCAAGGAAAACTGTTAGACACAGTTATAAATATGGCTCTTCCTGGAAAGGTGCTGATGCAGTTTCCTGGGCTAGAAGAGACCAAAACTAAACCATGTTTAAAAGGTTAAAAAGCAAGGTTTGGTTCTAGGACCGGTTTTGTTCAATATCTTTATTAATTACCTGGATGAGGGGACGGACTGCAACCTCAGCACGTTTGCAGATGACACTAAGCTAGGGGGAGAGGTAGATATGCTGGAGGGCAGAGATAGGGTCCAGAGTGACTTAGACAAATTGGAGGATTGGGCCACAAGAAATCTGATGAGGTTCAACAAGGACAAGAGCAGAGTCCTGGACTTGGGATGGAAGAATCCCAAGCATTGTTACAGGCTGGGGATCAACCAGCTAAGTAGTAGTTCTGCCGAAAAGGACCTGGGGATTACAGTGGATGAGAAGATGGATATGAGTCAACAGTGTGCCCTTGTAGTCAAGAAGGCTAATGGAATATTAGGTTGCAGTAAGAGGAGCATTGCCAGCAGATCCAGAGATGTCATTATTCCCCTTTATTCAGCTCTGGTGAGGCCACATCTGGAGTATTTTGTCCAGTTCTGGGCCCCACACTACAAAAAGGATGTGGACGCATGGGAGAGGGTCCAGCCGAGGGCAACCAACATGATTGGGGGCTGGACATATGACCTACAAGGAGAGGCTGTGGGAGTTGGGTCTGTTTAGTCTGCAGAAGCGAAGAGTGAGGAGGGATTTGATAGCAGCCTTCAACTTCCCGAAGGGAGCTTCCAAAGAGGATGGAGAAAGGCTGTTCTCTGTGGCGACAGATGGCAGAACAAGGAGCAATGGTCTCAAGTTGTGGTGGGAGAGGTCCAGGTTGGATATTAGGAAAAAATCTATTTCACTAGAAGGGTGGAGAAGCACTGGAATGGGTTACCTAGGGAAGTAACGGAGTCTCCATCCCTAGAAGTGTTTAAGTGACAGAGCCCTGGCCGGATTGATTTAGTTGGGATTGGTCCTAGAGCAGGGGGTGGACTTGATGACCTTCTGAGGTCTTTTCCAGCTCTATGATTCTATCTATGATCTATTTTGGGCTAACATAATTCCTTTCATGGGCTGGGGATCATTGTTCTTAAATCCACCTTCTATCATGGTCACATCTTGGAAGGTGGGAGAGATGGAAGACAAGCAATATTTCACTGATATTGCATATTTTAGCTGGCAATTTCTTTTAAAAATATTAATGATAACATAAAGCATCTATTTATCAGATAACAGCTGTCATCCCTCCTCTAGTCCATTCTCCAGTCTGGCAAAGGCCTGTATGCATTGTCCCAGAAGCAGGAGTGACTGGTTCATGCTGGGGGAATGAAGTGCAGGGACCGCCAGAGGGACAACTGGGGGCACCCCACTTTGCAATTAAAATGTTGGCGGGAGCCTGGGGGGCTGTGCACCTCCCGAGTGTTACTAGGAGTCACCTATGCCCAGGGGCCTAATCAGGTGGAATGACAGGCTCAGCCCAGGAGAACGATGCAGGCCCCACTGAGTGGACGCCTGAAGCACGTGGGAGATGTTTTCCGCAGCTACTGCAGGGGCAGCTCCTGACTCAGTCTTTCTTTGACCACGCCCCCACGTGGGGGGCGGGGCAGGCCGGGTCCAGCCCGAGCGGAGGCTGCAGCAGCCCCGCCCTCCCCAGGGGCTGGCAGCTCGAGCCGCGAGCTCCGGCCGTTGGGCAGATGCGCTACGTGACAGGTAGAGGCGCCCACCGGCCCCGCCCCGCTGGCGGGCTTGTCGCGTGATAGCTGCGCATGCGCGATTGGGCCAACTCCACGCCCGGCCGCTTCCGTCCCGGTAGGCGGAAGCCGGAAGTGAGGCGGAGAGCGAGCCATGGAGGCAGAGGGGCCGGAGCAGCAGCAGAGAGGCGGGGAGCAGGGCCCAGCCCGGGCCAGAGCCAATGGCGACTGCAGCCGCCCCGTGTCGCTCTCAGGGCAGTCCTACTGGCTGGACGTGTGGCTCTTCATCCTCTTCGACCTGGCGCTGCTTGTCTTCATCTATCTGCTGCCCTGAGTCGGCCGGTGAGTGAGCCCCGGCCCTGCTGGGAGGTTGCCCAGCGGCGTTGTCCGTACCGTGTAAACTGCGCGGTGCCTCCGGCTACCTTTCCATGGCAAGCGGCCGCCAGCCTGGCTCATCTGAGGCTGGGGGACGCTGTGTATTGCCTTGCCCAGGTTAAAAACAATCGGGTTGCTTTTTCTTGTCTCACGAGTGGTCAGGCTTTGGAGCAAGGACTCGAAGGCTAGGACGGGGCAGCCAGGGGTCCGATAACGGCCTTATGCAGGGGCATTTTACCACCACTATAAACTTTTGAAACACTGCAGTTTGGGCAGTAGAGGCTTGTTATCAGCTTGCAGCTAAGGTTTGGGAAGGTTCTGAGCGTACCTCACCTTAATGGTATCCTTCCTGTTTTAGGAATCTATCTATTGACTTTGATTTTTATCTGCTTAGGTTTAAGTACCCATTCTCCAGATACTTAATGATGCTCTGTCTCCCACCCCCTCCCTTTTTCTTTCTCTCCCCTCTCCCCTCCTGTTTATTTCTAGTTTTCATATCCCCAACTCATAACTCCGGTCATCTGAAGAAGTGGGCTGTGCCCATGAAAGCTCATGATACCATCTGCATCAGTGGTCCCCAACCTTTTGGGGTTGCCAGGTGCCCGGGGTTGGGGCCGCACATGCGCCGCATGCCCGGGAGCAGCACTGCGCATGTGCCGCGCGCCCAGGGCGGGGGCCGCGCATGCACTGGGCGACCAGGGCGCAAGAATGGCTCAGGCTGCCCTGGTCACTAGGCAGGCGCACATAAATGCCCTAGCCAGCACCATAGGGCCCGTGGGCACAGTGTTGGGGACCACTGATCTACATGTTTCATAAGTCTATAAAGTGGTACCAGACCATTTGTTGTTTTTTCTTGCAGTTGTAGTTTTGGGCTGCCACAGTCTATTGAGGATCCAGGTACCAGACCTGAGAGCTAAGAGACTCCCTCTTTTTACTCTCAGTAGCTTCTTGCTATGCCCAGACAGCTGGGAGGAATACAGTGGGAACAAGAGCCAGAATTGCAGGGGTGAGAGTTTATTGGGAAAGGAATACAGGACAGGAATTAGAGGGGGAGTCAAATTGTAGAGCTTGCAACTCCATGGGAATATGCAGATGTGGATATGCTCAGCTCAGTTTTGAAGATATGTTTGTATCTAGATCCCTGAACGCTTCCAGAGACCCACTTTATATTTGTGGGTATCCACATTCACAGATGTGGATACCTGTGGCTCCTCCCAGCCCACCAGGAAGGGCTGGCCCAGGATTTGGGCTTTAAGAGGTGCAGTTTGGAGTCCCAGGCTGCAGCTCCTAAAGCCCCCTTTTTAATTCAATCTTGCTGCTGGGGTGGAGGAGCAAGCCTTGGCTGGGGAAGAAGCAAGTTCCTCTAGCTCTAGCAGGGAGCTGCTGCAGCTGGAGGAGACCCATGGCTCTGAGCCTTTGTGTGTGTGACTTCAAATTACTTGGCTTTAGTCCTGCCACAGATCATTCATCTGCAGAATGAATTTTGCTATGTGTACCAGTATGGAGGTGGTGTGTCTCACATCTCCATATTGGTGCATGTAACAAAATTCATTCTGCAGATGGACAAATTACAGGAAATATTGGTGCATATGCAATAATAGTGTGTAATTATATGATCCCATACTATATAACTCATTGCAGTGGCTCAACCTGCTTTGGGGATGAATCACAGTTTTGTACTGACAGAGGCTGGAAGGTGTGTAGTGAATGATGTAGGAGAGACTGTAGGAAGGTCTCTTGGTTAAGGCATCTGAACGTTGTTCTGGAGAACTGACTTCTATCAGAATTCCTGTATGATACTAGGCAAGGTGCCTGATTTTAAAATCCCTGCACTCTGACTTGTGGAAGTACTGAGCACTCAGAACTGAAGTCAGTGGGAGCTGGGCTACGTAATGCTATGTACCCAGAGATATCCGGCCCTATGCCAAGGGCTGCAACTTAGGTGTGGCTGCATGTACATGCAAATAGTTTTTCACACTGACAACATGAATACAAAGATGAAGGAAAGACTACACAACACACAGGCCCCATTTAAGTCAGTTCTGTTGGTATTAATAAAATGCAATATTTATCTGATTTCCACCCATATGGCAGGCCTTCTAATGAGCAATGACAGTCCAGGAATTTAACTACCAAAATGCATATCAACAGAAGACCACTGTATTGACTACTTTGTTTGAGCTCCCACCTGCGGGCCACGTGTTGAATCCCGCATAAACCCAAATTGCACCACGGACTGCCTGTTGAGTAGTCCTGTCCTAGGCACCTCACACTGGGCACTGAAAATTAGTGGATATTTTTTATCTTAATCTTTGTGCTTCCGTTTCTTATCTGTAAAAAGGAGATCATACCATTCTATGAAATGAGGCAGTACTAAGATGATAAAATACTGTGAAAACTCTGATACTATAGCTATGAGAAGCCCATGACAATTTAATGAAGCTGTCTTTAAAGTAGGATTTGATTAAGGTGCAGGAAATAAGGCATGAGACTGGACATCCAACAATGAGAACATGAAAAATAGTTGCTCAATAAGGGTACATCTACACTGATCAGCTGTTTGTCGGCTCAGCGTGGCAGCCATGTAAATTTAAATGAAGCGGCGATTATTTAAATTGCTGCTTCATTTTACTATGTCTGGTAGCCTAATCTACATGCCTCTGGCGACAGAGGCATGTAGTCTAGACGTACCCTAAGTCTGAGGTACATTTGTGTTGAAGAAAACAGTACTGTGTCTGGGTGCATCTGGTACAGCATCATTCAGGTTGGGCCTCCCTGTTCCGGCATCCTCAGGATCTGAGTAGTCCTACACCATGGAGTTTGCTGGACCAGGGAAGGTCAAGGCTCCTCTCTGTGCTGCGGGCATCTGTGTAGCTTGGGCTTCCCTTTCCACTGCTGGTCCCATGCTGGGGCTCCCAGGGTCAGCCTCCTCAGGGTGGGATTTCCCTCCAGCCATTGCTGGCCCCTCTCTGCTGGGGTTCTGGACTGAGGCTGGGAATCCCCCCAGATGCCACAGGCCCCTCTTCCATTGGGGTTCCTGGCTGAGGTTTTCCCACACCCACTGCCAGCTCAGCTGCTGCCTGGATTCCCTGCTGGGTTTGGGGAGTCCTTTCAGCTACTGCAGGGGCACACCAGGGCTGAACTCCCCACTTACTGAAGGACCAACCCTGGCTCCCCAGCACCTGCAGGACTCATGCGCCTTGCCTCCGGGGCTCTCTTGTCCAGCAACATCCATGGTCTTTTCTTCTGGACCATGGAGTCCCGGATTTGGGAGGTTCAACCTGTACTATAGCTGTTTCCTACATTGATGGGAAGGGATTTAACTATCAGTGTAGTTTAAGTAGTGAATTAAGAAGCAGTAATTTTGGCCCCATCATCACAGAGGTTGACCTGCCACTGGTGTTCAGGGTGCAACATTTTTCATAACCTGGAGTGATGTAGTATGTGTGTGTTGACCCTGTACCTATTTCATCCCCTCCTACTGCTGAAAATAACTTGATGTTTCCATTCCACAGTGGTAGTTCCTATTCAAGATGATGAACTTTGTGAAAGCACGCTTTGGAAGAGGAAGACTTTATATGAAGCACAACAACTGGAAATGAGTCTCCAAACTGTTAAGCCACTGAGTGCTGGGGATACCTATTGCTCCATTCCTGGATGTACTGACTGAGGGGGTCTGGTTCATCTATAACCAGTTTACTTCAATGATGATGTAAATTGTGCCTTACGCTTGCTTACTTAAAATTTGAGTTGCCTGGGTAGTAGAATGGATTCTCTCTCATGTAATATGTTAAGTGGTTGAATAAAGACACAAAAAACAGGATGGGTGGTTGAAGAGCCCTGTCTCTTTAAGAGATGCATTTAAACAATCTTGTAGGATTGCCTGGTTTCTTGTTAGGTCAGGTGATTGACATACTTTTCTTGGCAGATCAGTTCCTTCTTGCACACTTCCATCTCCCCCTATCTTTAAGGCTGTTTAGAGGAGTTCTGCCCAGAAACAGGTAAGGTTTTACTGGTGTCAAATTACCTGATACTGTAGTGCTGTAGGTACACAGGACTGTATTTTGAAGGGTTTTCATCTGTTAATCTCTAAAGCAGGGGCAAGGGTTGGGGGGACTGCTGCCCCATAGAAAAATCACTCAGGGGAGATTTAGAAAAAGGAGGAAAAAAACCTCCTTGATGACATGGCCTCCAGCTGAGGAGGAAAAAAACTCCCCACTTCTCCCTTGAACATTAGTTTAGAGGTGCCCAGGCTAGTAGATTTTGTATATTCTAGCCCAGGTAGGGGACTGGACTGCAAGCACAGGCTCCCCCCTGCTGGGGGAGGAAGAGGGAGCACTGAACTTCAGGGAGCCAGATCCAGGCAACCTGGCAATTGAATCTGCCTCCTAGGCCTGTGGTTCCCCACCTCTACACTAACGCCCCTCATAACTCACTGTAGTGCTGCAGTCACCAACTGGTCGATGGCGAGGTATTCAGGCCCTCCCATTTTCCCCCCATCCCTGAGAAGCACCATGACCTACCTCCAGCAACAATGGCAGCAGTGCTGGCTTCCTGCAGCATGGATGGAAGTCCTGCAGCTTCACACCACTTGTGGGGGTTCCGGAAGTGCACTGGCTGCTCCCCTCCACCAGGTCTGTGGCACTTCCCTCCTCTACAGGGGAGGAGGGATGGGGACTCCCTCTTCTCTCTTCACCCTGCTCCCACCAGCACAGGTGGGGCCACAGTAGTGAGGCTTGGGGGTTTTGTGGGAGGTGGGTTTTTTTTGTCATCTCCCTTGTATGGCCCAACTGACTTTTCTGTGGGTCAGTGACTCCCTGACTAAAAACAGGTTACCTGTCCTTATAAAGAAAGGCAATGCAAAAACTTGAACATAGTATTTTATTTAAAAATGAAGTCTAGCCAACAAACCCCCAATTGGGGCCAAGCACCCAACTAGCTGCAGCATATAACACTCCTGTTCCCCTCCGATCCTAGATCTGAGCCCCTCACACATTGAAATCCCCTGCCCTAAGCCCCTCTCATACCCCAACTGAAATTCCTGCATCCTCAGAGCTTAGTACTGCAACCCTCCATCTGACCCCCACACTCCCCAGCCTGGAGCCCTCTCCCCAAGCCAGTGTCTCCTTCTCCAACTCCTCCTGAATTCAAATTTCCTCCCAGAGCTTGCACCGCTCACCCTTCCCACACCCGAGCCCACACATCCTGTCTCAACCCACTGAGGGTACAGCTAGATTGCAGGAGCCTTTCCAGGATTCCAGAGATATCCCAGAAAAACTCTTCTGCATCCAGGGATGTTCTTCCACTTTTTTTAGTAGAAGAGCAAACATGCTCTTTCAGTAACCCCTATGTTCTTTATTCCATGAGGAGTAAGGGGGATTCCAAAAGAAGGTTTTTTTTTTAACATTTGGTCCAGTCTAGCCCTGCCAAATGTTGGAAAAACCTCTCCCTACATAAGAATTGGGGGGAGGGGGGGGGAGTGGCAGTGTAGAGTGTATAAGAGCTGGGGATAGGAGGGGAAAAAGTGGCAGTGTAGAGTGTATAAGAGCTGGGGATAGCAATTGATGGAAAGGAGGAGAATAGAGAGGGCGGGGCTTCAAGGAAGGGAAGGGGCAGTAGATCTTCACTTGTTCTGAGATTTAAAAAGTGATGTTGGGTGTAAAAAGGTTGGAGACCACTGCTGTGGTGCTACCTACACCAAAGGGAGGATCTTTTCCTGATGGCATAAGAGGCAGTAGCCAGGGTTAGGGGAGACAGTGGCCCATGTTAACATTTTTTTAAAGTCAACCTATGTCAGTTTACTAACCACCTAAGCCTCAGTGGTTTGTACGGACAAGACTAGACCAATTCATTGCTGCTGCCCTGCAATTAGAGAGATAGGGACCAAACGTGTGCATGCTCCTACAGTATCTTCACTGTATTTGTATCCCAGCCTCTACATGCACTGAACACTAAATGAGACACACCTATCTCTAGGCTAGCTGAAATAATTAAGGGAAGTGCTGCAGGACTACACTAGTCCTTTAACAGCTGAGCTTTAAAAGAATGCATGTAGGCTTAAGGGGATCTAGAGGAGTGAAAAAAGACAAGGGGCTAGATGTGGCTGCTTCCTCTGAGTTCAAGTGACCTAGGACCAGCAGAAGGAACCTATGGGAAAAACAGTAGGAACTGTAGCTCACCTCATTGAACTGTTTTTGGTGATTATTTTTTTTATAACTGCCTAAGAGCATCATGGGACATGGCACAGGTACAGAACAACTAGTTCTACTATAGAAGAAAATCTCAAGTATAATTCAGTCATTGGTCACTAAACCTTTTTAAACAAAGTTGAGCTGAAATATTTAACTGCATTATATTCTATTTTGGTAGTACCAGCAGCTGTACAAACAGATGTCAACCAAAGCAGCTGTCTTTATGCATGAAAGTTTTACACTAGTGTGCTTCCTGCTAGTGTAGTCACCCTTTAGTAAACTATAAAGGTAAGCAGAAATAAACCTTACTTTTGAACCCCATACAAAATAGTAGAATGCTAATGGTATTTTTTTAATACAGATTTTTTAAAATGGTCAAGAGCTGATATCTTAAAGTGAGGAACAGAGATTGCCTTGTAGCTGGAAAGCTTCTGAATGCAACTAAGAGAAAGCAAATTCCACTTTCGCAATTATAGCAAAACTGATGGTTCAATCATCATTCACTTGGATTAAGAGATCATGAAAGATCTGAGAAACTTCAATATTTATGCTCTGCAATGTTAAGTAATTAAACTTTTTTTAAAACAAGGTATTAACATGTTTCATCCATTCAAGTTAAATAGGTGAGAACTACTCTTAAGCACCACTAATTTTACTTCTCTGTTGTTTGATGACCAATCTCAGTGTAACCACCACCAGGTGGATTTGAACCTGGGACCTCTGGAGTTTAGTGTAGGAGCCAGCTGGCTTTTAGAAAGGAGTAGTTTCAATTGTTTGCCAGGTAGTGTAACACTGACAGTAAGAACCAAACCTGGGACCTCTGGAGCTTAATGCATTAGCCTCTACAGCTTGAGCTAAAAAGTCAGCTGGCTAGACAGAGAACTCATCCTGGAAGGGCTGCTCTTTACCCTAGATGGGACTTGAACCCATAATCTGGCTAATCTGCAAATACTTTTTAAAATAGTTAAACAAAACTCTGGAATACCAATCAAATGACTACCTGTATAAAATACAAAGGAACAAAGTAGCAGCCACAAAAGTAGTTAATTTTTAATCTAATGGTCTGAACAAGCAGAAAAATGCAACGTTGCATGAAAATAAAATTCTGAAGACCAGAAAATAGTTACAATACCTGTTAAATGCATTTAAACATTACAAAATGTCTGTTCTTGTACAAATCTATAACCAGAAGAGAACATTTATAAAAAAATAAATAGGCACTCTAGCTAAAATCAATGGCAGATCACACATTAAATATTGAACATAGAGCCTGTAGAGCAAATATAAAAACTGAAGGTGTCAGTTATTTATATAAATAGTGCACATACAACTCATCAGGTAAACAAGTCATATACAAAAGGTTTTGCCTGGAAAGACACAATCAAGCAAAGCAAGAAAAGACCTAAGTTAATCTAAGGGACTCAAATGAAGATTGTTGCATTTCAGATCTCTGGAAGAACTTAAGTAGACATTCTTAAACAAGCTTACCAATTGTGCTCAGTAGCTTTCTGGAAACTGAGTTCACTTGTTTATGTTAATAGGTATTCACATCGTTCCTTTGGGAAGTAATATGAATGTTTGCTATGCACATATAAGAACATTGTGGTACTGTTTATACACTGAAATACTTCCATTTAAATACAAGATTTCTAGAAAAGCTTGACAAGTTCTAGTACTCTTAAGTTCCATTTGCATTCAGATCCATACACCTTGAATGTATTTGCTTTAAATGTAACAATACCAAGTCCAGAATTTATTCATTCAAATGCTACTGGGTTACTAAAAAGTGTAAAGACACTGGTCTGACATTTGGTCTGCTGCCTATCATGTTTGTTATTAAAAATGACAGATCTTAGTTTGATTTCATGTTAAGACATTGGCAAAATAACCACAACTTCTGTTTTTACCTTGGAAAACTATTACGCATGATTGTCACAATTTGGTCAAAGCACTGTAATACACATAATGTACATAAACATTTAAACTTGTTTGACCACACCGCAAGCACAACATACATTTGTAGCATTAAACTCAGAATTTAAAGGCATTTATACTTAACTGTAACCAATATCACCCAATTTAAACACATCTAAGCACTTTCCTTTAAATTTAAGAAAGCCATGAGTTTCAACTATTCATTTTACGCAGTCCTGATTTGGTAGTGTTACATTATTACAAGTTACATTTTTTCAATGACTAACATGGTACAAAGCATTTACAGATGCCAGTGAAGTTGAATTAAAATCCTATCCAAAGAGGATGTAGATTACCCTTTCATTGAAAACACTGTCTAGAAGTTTGAGTGGGAGACTGCTAGCTAGGGACAAAGTTCTGTAACAGTAAATCAGAGTGACTGATCCCATACATTTGCTCAGGTTTATGTGAGCCAAAGTGATGTATTTTCAAAACACAGTTCAGTACACAGACAGTTGAGCTTAGATATAGCTGAAAAAAATTAATCTGATCTGAATAAGGTCTTGAATGTAAGTGTACTGTTTCTTAAATTTAACCTTTTAGACTATGTCTACATAGTAGCATTATTTTGGAATAACTGACATTCCAAAATACAAAGTGTGTGTCTACATAGTAAGCCATTATTTCAAAATAATGGTGAGCTGGAGGATGCTTATTCCAACTCATGGTAATCCTCATTTTACAAGGAGTAAGGGTAGTTGAAGGAAGTGTTCTTCTTTCGACTTCCTGCTGCGTACAGTGCCAAAAGTCGAGTTAAGCTATTTCAACTTAAAGTATACAATTGAACCCTGCTGTGTAGACGTACCCTTGCAGTTTACTTGTAACAACTGCATATCTTAAAGCATATTGCAGTCTACTCTATTAATTTGTTACTTACATACATAGCTAAATTAAATTGCAGTAATAAGTTTATCACAGCCTTGCTTGTGGAACACATAATTTAAGTTTGCTCCTTAACAGTTGGATTAAAGTGCACAATATGGAATTGGAGTTTGCAGGTAATTTAAAAATCTCAAACAGTGTTCTGTTTGTAGTTTACAAATTACTCAAGTCTATATGTGAAGTCATTCATTAAGGCATCATTCTAAGTACTAAAAATCCAATTCTCTGGATAAAATTTCATTAAAGACACTTAAAAGGAAATTAAGTTAGACTTTCACAGAAGTCAGATGAAAAAATAGGTAACACCTATTGTTACCCACTAGGAACAATGGTTCCATAAAACAGATACTGTTCTAATTAGTGTACCATGCTATGTATTGGGACTGTACTTGTCAGCATATCACTAGCTAAATTTAAAGAGATTACAGGTTAATTTATATCTTCTCAGTCTGAGAGCACAAAATCCAGTTTGTGAACAAGTGTATTAAGTCCTGAACAACCTGTATTTATCCCATATGGTGATCTTCCTAGGTATTAAAAGCACACACTTTTAAAAGGACCATTTGTAACAGACTTGTTGAATACGTTTGTATCATCACATGGAGGTAAACATTGTTAAGGCAAAAATGACAAATTCATGAACATAGGGCCAAAATCTTAGCACCTATTCCCCTGCTCACCTATATTTGCAAAATTAATTGAAGTTATATTCTTAAAAGCATAGTGGGCAGGATTCCAAAGTATGCAGTGTAGTAGTTGTGTCATCCTCAATTAGACATCTCACCACAGAGATTTCCATGCTTCCTGCCAATAAGCAGCCCATGTGAAATGCGTCAGAAGATAATTGATTTGACTGTCTACCTATTGCAATGTATGCCTTCCATGTTAGATTTGTATCTCTGTTCAGATGTGGGATGACTAGAATCAAGAGTACCATGGTATACAGTGCTCAGTTCTATTCCAGTTGGTGGGAGATGCTTTTCTTTGTGGAAGCCACCACCATCTGCATAATACATTTTGGGTTTTTGATGGTATTTCATCCTGTACGTATCCGTCATGCAGCTATCCACTGAAAAATAGGTTGTTAGAGATACGCTATCATTTGCATCAGGAGAGATAACACTTTGTCCTGTGTGCTGAGATCCTTTATTAAATATACTGCCAGATACAGTCTGAAAGTCATTAGCTGATGAGCTAGGTGCTGAATCCAGTTTGCGAAAAGTGTGCTCATTCTCTTGAAACGTTTCTTTAAATCTTTCTTCATTTGTAAATGCACCTTCTGATGCAGATTTTGAAGCGGTAGCTGTAGTGTGCCTTTCGAAACTTGAAGGATTATTCTGAAACACTTCTGACAATTTTACCTCACTTGTGGAATCACTTTTTGATCCTAGCAACACATTCAGAGCATATTTCTTTGGTGGTAAAGGAGGAGGAAGATTTTGGTAAACTACTTCTGGAATCGGAAGATTATTAGTCCTACCAAATGACTGAACAGCATGTTCACCAGATGAGGACTGAACAGTCCCACATGGATCTAACAGATTCTGTTGTACTAAAAATGCAAGCTCTGACCTTGATCCAGTAGTTTTTGTATGAGGCGGCTGAGATGAGAGAAATTCATTGTTGTTCACTCTTTTTGCACTCACAATTAAGTGTTCAGTGCTGTACGGGCGGGTTGAACTGTCAACACTATATACTGGCATACTAATCTTCTCAAATTTATCTAGATTAAGCCATTCTGATGAGGTCTGCTGATTTAAATTGCTGAACTTTGTTTCTCTCTTAACATGGTCCTTAAAACTTGGCTGTAGAGTTGATGAAGGAAAACATTTCTTGTCTGGCATCTCTGTTCTAAAATATAAACATGCACAGGTATTGGGGGACTAGTCAGAAGGCATTTTCTCACAAATGTTTACATATATTTTTAAAATCATAAAACCATCCATTAATTCCAAGTACTGTGGATGTTTTTTTAAATGGTGTTCTTGGAGACACTTTAAATATCACATTTACCCTTGATCTGACTGAAGGATTCAGAGCCTTATTTAACTTTTCTTTTAAGCTCAAAAACAGGTATATCAAATCACTGCAGATTTTCTTCCATAAGAAGTTTGAAGGATTAACAAAGCTCTTCAAAAGATTCACCCCTTCCCCCGCCCAATAAGGAAAGAATCTTGTTAAAACATTGAATGGAGTCAGCTCTAGGTTCTTTTCCTAGTCCTACCAGACTGATGTTTAGGCAAGTCAGATATGTAAACAATTTGAAAAAGTGTCCACTACTTCTGAGTGCCTAGTTTGACACTCCAGATCCTGAGTTTCAGATGCTAGGCACCTGCAGTTCCCAGTAACTTTAGCTGGAGCTGTGGGCACACATCATCACTTCAGAAAGGCAGCTCTAGGTGGTAGGTAACTGCTATCCTGTTTTTAACTAGAGTTTTCAGAAGGCAGTTTGACAAATAATTATTTGTTGTATGAATGGATAAGTTAGATCACTTTAAATTCTTAACCAAGTTAAAGGCCAGATTATTAAATGCTAGTTAGGTGTCTGTATGACTCTTTAGGCACCTACATATCTTAAAAATCCGACTAAAAATTATTTGTTGGCTTGTCTTTAAACGATCAAGTTTTCATGTTTTTCAAAACAAATTTGTCAGCTAAATAATTTTGATATACAAGGTACAAATTTAAAGCATTGTCAGAAGACTGTATTTGAAAAGTATTTGGACATATTATATATAATTTTCCAATTAACAATGGGACTTAACATAGGCATTGTATTTCAGATAAGCAAGTTTTATAGTTAAAAAAATAGTTAAATTACCTCTTTAGTAGCAGACTGTGCATCTGCAATTGAGATTCTGAAGAAAAGTCAGTGTGTGGTCTGTAATTAGCTTGCATATTAATTTGGTCTTTCCGCAAGTCTAGAAAAAAAAAAAACACATCCCAGTTTCAATAAAACGTTTCTTCTTTCTTAGAGGGTCATTATAAGTTACACTAACAAAACAAGCCTCATTTATTTTCAAAATTACAATGAAAAGGATACGAGTCAGCAAACGTAAATTACAGTTAAAAATCCTCCACATCTTTATTCATAAGTGGAATTTATTTAAAAAGGTGTTTTAATAAGAAAGATGTTAAAATATCTAAATACCGAATAGCTTAGTTACTAAAAATGTACTCTGATTTTTCTGCTTCAGAGTTAAACATTGAATAGTCTAGTCTAGCACTTTAAAGACTAACAAAACATGTAGATGGTACCATGAGCTTTCATGGGCACAACCCACTTTTTCAAGTGACCAGAATGTTGGAAGTCCAGATCCAAGATATTATCTACATGTTTTGTTAGTCTTTAAAGTGCTACTAGACTATTTGTTGGTTTTTAAGTTTTTTCTGATTACCACCACAAACTTAAACACCAAGCAAGTGATGGATACATTTCATTTTTGAGATTTTAGATGTTGTGGCTCCATAGAGAGGTTCCCCTTGTGCATAAGGTCAGATTCTTTTGGCCATCCGTATCTACTGGGTCTAGGAATGTAAGCAACTAGTTGACTACCCGATAAGCATATGCTTATTAGGTAGTCGAGTAGTGACTCAACTTGTCGCTTCCTCCAGCACTGCCTTTATCAGGAACCTATGCTGGGGTGAGCCGGCTTAAAAGCTGGTTCCCCCAGCACCATCTCCATGGGGGCAAAAGAGGTAGAGGTGTAGTGGGGAACCGAGCACAAGCTGGGAATCAGCTGATTCAGTCTGGCTGCTATTAATACATTTAAAAGGCAGAGCTGCAGTGGGGTTAGCTCCCAGCCCAGGAGCTAATTCACTGCGGCACTACAGTTCCCCCTTATCAACTAATTGAGTAGTTGATGGAAATTCCAACGATTAGCTGATTACCCGTAATTTAACATCCCTAACTGGGACCATGCCTGTGCCCCAGATGTCCAATGGCATAAAAAGGAGAGCATGCTCAATTGCTGACAGTTCCTTCACAAATAGAGAATCATAGAAAGATGGACAGCAAAGAAGGAAAGAGGGCTGAGGAGTCCATCTTCGAGAATCAGTTCCTTTAGGTAAGCAACTATTTTTTAAAGCAATTGTTTACATGGTCACTCAGTAACTACCCAAGCAATTGCCTGTGTGCGGGAAAAGGAATACTGAAGTTCCTACTTAATCAATAACTACAGGATAGCCCTACCAAAATGGGTATCCCTTCTGGAAGCCTTTATCAAGGCACAGTGTAAGGTGTGGGCCAAACTCCACATACCTGCATACCAGATTGCAGAGAGAACACTACTGTTCAAAAAAGCAGTAGAGGATACATGAGCTCGAATGGAGAAAGGTGAATAACCTTGCTAATTCATAACTAATCCTCTTGAAGCTGGAGATCCCACTCACATAACATCTGTGAGCGTATGAGTTTACTATCATTAAAGACCATGACTAGATTGAGTAAAAATCATTCAAGAATATGCCCAGTTGATATAGGAAGATAGTTCCCCTTGCTACATGAATTGTGTGTGAAATTTAGCTTCTCCAGGGGTTTTCTGTTTTGGACAGAAAACTAGGAAGCAGATAGATTTGAGTTCCACATGACAGTATCCAGGCTGACAGATGTAATGACACTGTGTTCGGGTACAGGATAAGCACTATTCTGTAGGACAACAGGAGGCTTCCCCCAAATCAGTCTATCTTGAAAGGTTCATCAGTTGCAAATAAGGGACTGCCTATCCTATGCTAGAGCTATCAAATGTTCTGTCCTGTTTCTTGCTTCAACCTCTTCAGAATCCTAGGTATATCAGTGATTTGGAAGAAAGGCACATGTCAGTCTAGGCATCCAGAAGATGAAAGGCATCTGCTAATGAAACTGGGCTCAATCTCCCTCTCCTTTGGAACAAAATATCTGTCACTCGTTGACCTGGTCTGTGGCAGGCGTTTCTACAAAACCTCACTAGCAAAAATTCTCTATAGGACTCAATTTTTCACAGGCCACTCCTGATTGTCCAAGAGCTTTCAGCTAAGATGTTCTAAAAGCTGTGAAAGTGCTGATCTAGGAGGTGCATTCTAAATAAGACAGTCTTTCTATTAAATTTCAAGAGATGACTTCTTGTGGGACCACAATCATTGTGTGCAAATGGTGTCTACTGTAGATACGCTGATTTCAACACTGACACGGATCATAAGTGAAATCTGGCAAAAGATGTCCTGCAGTTGCTTTAAGCCATATGTCCCAGAAGCCAGGCATGTTTTCACTTGGGATGGATCAACTGCTCTTGGAAAAAGGTGTTTTTCAGATAAAAAGCTGTGAACCAGTCTAATGAGGGGATTAGGAAGGCTAAAGTTCAGGATGATGACTCTAGCACATGAAGATGTTGGGTCCAGAATGGGTCATCAATCCCTTTCCTTATTTGGGATAAGAAAGTAATGACAATGAAAACTCCTGACCCATAACTCCAGAGGCATCACCTCCTCTACTCCCATTTGCAAAAGGGAATCTACTTGTCTATTGTGAAAAGGGGTCAGCTAAAAAGGAATGGTGAAGGGGTGAAAAGGGATCAGAACTGAATACAATGCCTCATCTATAATTTCCAAGACACAGTCCAAGGTAATCCCAGCCCTAGATTTCTGAAAATAAGAGGTGCCTGCCAATAGGAGGCCAAGATATTAAAAAAATTGTAATTCAGGCTTTCGACAGGCTTCCATCAAATGTGTTGCCTGATGACAGCCCCAGACTGAAAAGCAAAAAAAAGAGAGGAAACAGAAGAGGACTGCCTACAACTGAATGTCTTCTTTACCTGATCTGATGTTTTCTTTTATCTGAGTAACACCAGGTACAGGAATGCTGGCCGAAAGATGGCTACTCACATTTGCACTTTCTTCTTGGAGCAGGAATATGGGTCCAAAGAGGGAAAAAAATTCTTTAAAAGACATTCACAGCCACAAATGCCTTAATGTTGGTTCAATACAAAAAAAGTGGAAATTGTGTCTTGAATTCATTAAGATTTCCCCCTTAATCTCATATTTTCAAGTCAATACATTGAAAAGTTTAGATCCAAAGTTAGGATATAGGCATGGAAGTAGTTTTATCTTTTAAAAATAATATGCTAGCATACATTTTAGTCTATGCGTTGCTACTAGGTTTTTTCCATTTCAACATGCAAACTGGATTCATAGCTTACCTATAAGTCCTTTAGTTCTTATTTTTTGTCTAGTTATGTTTCCACACAATTGCTCCTTACGCCCCATAAAATGGCTAATGTAAACTTCAGTACCAACCTCAACAATTCAATAAATTACTTTACTGAATTTTGTTTCATGAGCTGTGAAGTCCTTCTGTGAAACTGCTACAGAAACTGGACACAAGGAGGCAGCAGAGATTTGCAAGCAATTACTTGCATGTCACCAGGGCAGGCATTCAATCACAGACATTCATAGGCACTGGAAGTTTGTGCCTTTGGAATTCCAGCTAATTTAAAAATAGATGTGTTATTTTTCTCTTCTGCTGACATGGAGATCCATGCATGGTTAAAACCAGAGAGTCTACTGGGAATTTTGGCTCCAGGTTCTTTGCAAACCTAAATATGGTATATGTTAGCATACTGCACAGCAGACACCTCATCACCATAAGAAAAACCTCAAACAATAATAATTTTGGCATTTCTCAAATGATAGCTGGTCAGATTTTTGGAACTGACCCTATCACTTAAGATGAATCTGAACAGACAACATTGTTTACAAGACTACAACAGCCATTCTTCTATCCACTGAGTAATCTAACTCCACTCATCCACAAAAGATGAAGATTTTCTGAAACACGTAGAAATACATTTTCTATGGTACTGTCAACATATTGCAGATATACAAAGTCCATTTTCAGCACAAAAAAAACCTTCATTTTTCTATGTGAGGATTCCTAGAATGTTTATTAGCTCTGTGTGTTCAACAGCTAAGATCTGATTATACATTTTTAGAGTAAACGTAGAGCTACTAGTAAGAAGCCAAAGTATAACGACTGCAGTATTTTCTGTGTGATAAATGAGGTTCAGGTTATTTTTTAAGGTTATGTTTGAGGATTAATTTGAGAATGAGCCTTGACTACTGTCATGGATGTTTCAATAATAGAAATGAAATGATGGACCTTTGTAATTTACAGATATCCACACCTGTTATATGTCCTTCCTTCACTAGGAAATGTACATCACGATTGTTTTATGTTCTTTTAGAAATCATTGTTTATAAAAAGATCTGATAAGGCTTAATTTATCAGAATTAGTTTAATCTTGCCCCTGCATGATCCATGCTAGGTTTTACAGTGCTTTCACACTTTTCATTCTACTCAACCCCCAATTAAAATATCAAAGTATTTTTAATTTTACAAGTAATCCATTTGCACATACTCCATGACCTCTCAGAAAGCTGTAAATTAAAGGTTTCCTTACCTCCACTACATATACACATTTTTTATTTAATAATTAGAATTTCCAGAAATTATTTTTACCTTCTCCCACCACTTTCTCCAGTGGGCATTAGCTAGAGTAGATGGGTTCTAGTAGGCTGTAGGGATGTTCACTATCAGGTAACTGAACACTCAAGTAACTGCATGAAATCTTTGCTGTTACACAGCTATTTGATAATCCTCAAGGGCAGGGCCAGCACCCAGTGCACTCCCAGCCCCACTCCCGAGGAGCTCCTTGCCACGCTGTGCTGCCCCTCTGTGCTGATAAGCCTATCCGAGACAGTGGGGTGAAGTGGCAGCATCCCTGTGCACAGGGAGCTCAGAACCATGCTGACAGGGACTGCTACCGCAAAGCAGCCTCTGCCCGCGACAGGCCCAGGCTCGCTGCAGGCAGGGGCTGCTCTGGGAGATGCGGAGCAGCCACTGTCCGCAGGGAGCTCGCAGCCCCCATAGACAGAGGCTGCTTCGCGA